ACATTCTTCAAAGACCCCCCCCCTTTTTTATTTCTTTTTACCCCCCTCCAGTGCCAGCATCATTGCCGTACCTCCTCTTCGTCGTCACTCTGCCTGCTGCCTCTTCATCCCGCGYGGCTGGTGGAGGACACTTTTCAGTTTTTATTAATGTGCTGCGGCCAATTAACGCAGTGGCACGCAGGCCAGAGCCCCKTCATCTGCTGCCTGCCACCGTCCCCGGCTGTCTGCCGCGTCCCCCCATCCCCACGCCGACCCCTCACGCCACCTCCACCGTGACCAAAACGCTTTAATTCAATTTATGCAATCACTGTTATTTTTAAATAGTCATTTTGTCTGCTCAGATGAGGGGCCTTGCTGCCCGCTGGGCCAGCCCCTCTCAWGTGTGGGATRTGGAGGGAGGGAGGGGGGTGGGGGTTRGAATCAACTTGTRAGGAGAAAATCTGATATATTGTTTYATTCATTCGCATAGTTGATTGGGTTCCAGGTTCTTCTGTGCTGTTTTGAACTTCTGTGAATATTTGTTAATTTTTTGTCTTTTCCCCAAGTTAGACACTTTCTGCTAATAAGTGTTTCTGTGTCACTGGTGGGTCACAGAACTAAACAGCGCCCCCCTCATGTAATCACACCCTCCAGACAAGCCTTCAAATATTGATCTAAATTTCAGTGTCATCACTGTGGATCTTTAATCTCTCCCTGCGAGTATCAGCCGGGCAGATCAGCTAAGGTGCACAATGCTATTCTGCACCACTCAGATAACTTACAGACATTTGGAGTGCTCATTTCCCCCCGTCTGCCCCAGTGACCTCCGCCTAACTTAAAGGTACRTCTCGGGGGCATTTTGATTTGGGCAGAACGGAGAGGTATCGGTGACAGAGGAACTAATCCAGTATTGCGCAGATTAAGAGTATTTGTGGGGTGGTGTGTGTTGGCGCTGGCGCTGGGAATGGAACAGAAGGGGTTCCTATCAGCTCTCCAGGCAGGCTGGCCCTCAGGCCAACACAGTCCTACAGGAGTCTTTGTACTTCCCAAAGCCTCCACTTTCCTCTCACTCACTCTGTATCGCTCTTTCCACCGTCCTCCGTGCTTTCTTTCTCTAGTCTCTCATGTTCCCAGCTCTCCAAGTTCTCTATTTGCACTTCTGAATTTRTGTTGTGTTCATCCTCTGTTGAACAACACACTGAAAACGAGCAGGTGCMAATGGAAACATTTGTAAGATTTTTGTGATTGACAGCTTTTGAGGAGATCTCTGTCATGTAAAAGACACAAATACTATAAATTTCTTTTAGGTGGGATTTAAGTTGAGGTGGAAAAACACCAACTTTTTTACAACTGTAATTAGTTGAAAAATACGGTCAGCAGCATTTGAATTTGTCTCCTTTTTTCAACATTCTTCTCTCTTTGTTTAGTTCTCTTTGTTCAGTTGACGTTTTCTGCTCTGCTTTGTCTGCGTCACGTTGTTTCATTGGAGCAAAAACGTCAACAAAGAACAGCTCGTTAAACATTCGCACAAACAACAACAAAAACAAACAAAAAAATGTAATTTGGCTGTTGAAGAAATTAGGGAGATATGAAAAGGGCCTCTTTTTGTCTYAAGTGTGCTATTTATTTATCTGAAAGGATGCACATTGTATCAATTTACACTTCCACACTCACTCAGCTACAGGCCGGAGGGCTCAGAAGTTGAGAGAATTAATTACTTTTTTATTATTATTTATAAAGTAATCTATCTGTGGAGAGCGAGAGCAAAAAAAATGGAGAGGGTGCATGTGTGTGTGTGTGACAGAGAGGCAGGGAACGCCCTGAAGCATTGTCCTTTAAACTAGGTCCTGGCTCACATTATCTCCCAAACCAGCACTCACACAACGTGGAACAACAAACGAACTGCAGGCTGCTGGGGACGCAGTGTGGAGGCTGAGAAAAGGGAGGTGGGGGAGTGGGTTGTGTGTGTGTGTGTGGGGGGGGGGGGTGAGCAGCAGAAAGAAAACTCAGCTCAAACGAGTGTTGCATGTATGAAAATGAGGTTTTATTTCTACTCAAAAGTTTTGCGCCATGTTTGAATGTTCCAGTTCTCGTTTAAAGCTGTGAAACGTGCGATTTTGACCTCCTCCTGTATAGGCGGTGATGCTCAGTAGATAGAGCTTTAAGGTTTAGAATCAAGGTTTTTGACGACGTTTAGGATTTATTTAAAAAACTGCAAGCAAAAACAAACAAAACAAAAAAACGTACGGATGTATCCAGTTGCAATTCTAACTGAGCTAACAGACATTTGCAAACATCAAAGCAGCACAATCCCGCAATTAAAGCAAACCTGCAAATTATCAAAAACATAATTAAAAAAACACTTATTTGACTTGTGATGCCAATCTATCTGGGCCTAATCAGACTTAGAATGGAGGTGAAACTGTATTGATTTTTATTTAGCAGTGTGAACACAATACAAATGAAAATCCAACTTCTCTAATACAACGTGCACTCCTCTCCCTCAAGGAAAACCTAAATCGTTAATCCAAAATGTTTTTTTTTTTTTTTGTCGAGGACAGCTCAAGGATATCCTCGCACGACACTTGTCACACTCTAAAGTGGCCAACTAATTTGCTAAAATAGCAAAACTGCATCATTGTGGTGATAAGAAGTCATCTTCTCTTGAGGAACTTTTATGAGCATGAATATTAATTGAGCCAAATGTTGGCTATTCTGTTCCGCGAGGAAACGATGTAATCAAGCCTCAATTAACCAGTAACTAAAATGGACTCATGCCCTCCAGCTGTCTCTCTCAGGACATTTAACTTCCTCCTCCCCCCTCTTTCAGTTCAAGCAAACCATCATTACATTTCCTCCTCTTCCTCCTCAGTGCATTCAGCTCCATATGTGAGGGAGAGGAACATGTGTCCAACATGAAGAGGGCAATGAATCTCTCTCTTATAGATAAATGTCACATGCTTTGTCCGCAGATGTGGAAAGGGGTGGGGGGGAGTGGTCCTCGCTGATAGAATTAACATGTGGAAATTGCGAAGCACTCTTTATGTTTCTGATGTGCTTCGTATTTCCAGGGAGGCCCTGAGATATGATTCATTTGCAAAATGTGGTTAATTTTCTCTCTGCGGGATACTTCTGGGCTATAGAGCATCATTTGTGGACYCTTTGGCTTGCCCCTGCATTGTGAGCGCGCACGTGTGTTTGTGCATGCATGCWCACAAACATATGTGTTGGTGTGTATCCCCCCTCCTGTTTAACTACCTCCATGATGGGCTAATTGGTTTAGCAGTCGAGGGGGCCAAAGGCCAGCGCAGCATAGCGGAGCTCAACATGAACCTGATGTTGAAAGGAAGAGTTCATTGAAGGGAAGCATGTGTGGGACAGTTACCTCTTTTTGTTCTAACCACACCTCCCCTCTTACACACACACACACACACACACACACACACACACACAC